CGTGGCAGGCGCAGCACTTTGTGAATCTCGATGTGCAGATTTCGTGGTAGGCGCAGCACTTTGTGAATCTCGATGTGCAGATTTCGTGGCAGGCCTCACGCCTGGTCCCTCTGGTTTTTCACATGCTTCCGCATCTGCTGCTCTCATCTGTGCGCTCGCACATTTGTGCTCTTGTCCGTCTCCTCTCATATTTGTGCTTTCATCTGTGTGCTCCTTCTTTCCTTCCACGTGATGCCATGTTCCATCTGTTCCTCTTTACACTATTTGGGGTCCCTTGCCGGTGTAATTTTTGAACAAGGCCTGCAACTGAAGCATCATCATCCACTGGGCCAAGGTAATAGGATAGACCCAAGTCATGTATGTGTCCTGGGAAATAAAGCCACCTATCTTGAGGAGGTGTTCATATGACTCACATGGATTTATATATTATAGTTTTAACTATATGATATATTATTTTTCATCGGTCTAATATCGATTTGGCTCTGGAAAATGTTCCCAATGTCTCACCGTAGAGTCTTAGTCTTCCGTTCGTAAGGTTTCGTTCCTTTGGGCTATTAGCCGGTATGTAATTGGTACATCCTCAGATCAGTTGGTGATTTATCCCCTTTCTTAAGGAGACATTGTTTTGTTCACCAATGGTCAAGAAGTGGGTGCAAGTGGTGTCAACAGTAAAGGTACATAAAGGTACTTTTTCTTTTTCACAGATTCAACTTCAGTTCACCTTCTTTGAACTAGTAGTTTGGGGTCGCCGACTTCCGGTTTCGCGCGGGCGGTTCCGCGGCACCCCTGTGACTGGCAGGTCCTGGACGTGCCACTGGGTCTGCGAGAGTTGCTCCGTTCGTCCTCGTTCCGTGCTTTCATAGCGCTTTACAGTACAGTAGCGCTCCAGTTCTGAACGCGGCAAGTTGACCAGTTCGGAAGCGCTTTCCGTGGTCAGCTTTGATAGAACTCACCCATGATATCATCGTATCATGATAATTACTATCCATCTACAATGTAGACTCTTGATTCACAAACCCCACCTCATATATGAAGAGGTGTTACATTCCTTTTTTTGGGGAGGGGGTTATGAATTTACTGGATTGAGAGTAAGTCGCACAAATTGCAAGATTCTTTGTTCAATACGTGGGACTGGTTCTTCCTGACTTATTTTTTCAGGTGAAGTTGAAAGCAGCAGTCAGTCAACGGATCTTCGAGGCCACCTGCTTTACAAGCTGACCCTCCCTCCGACCTCCGATGTGCGAAGGATAGGCCGAAGCCAAAGACCAAACTGAGTTGGACCCCAAAGAAGACTTCTAGAACCCGAATTCGCACGCCACGCGTGCGGACTACACATTGAAAAAAATGAGGATGTGCAGTTTTGCATGTGCCCAGGCCGTTTTTGCAAGGCACCTGGGACCTTAGAGCCTTAGATGTCTAAAACTGCAATCGATTGGTAGATAGATAGAGGTTTAAGGTCATTGATTCCGCATTTGCTCAAGAAACATCGCCCGCACCTGTACCAGAATGGACCAGTTCCACGTTGGTGGTGCCTTCATTTTCGATCAGGTCGAAGATGACTTTTAGTCCAGGCCCTCAGATGAGCGCCTGGCGCAGCGGTTGCACCTGCGCGCCCTTGGGCCCTCAGCAGTTGCTGGTGGTCGGTGGCTTTGATGGATCCAATCACTTGGATAGCACGGAGTTCCTTGGCCCGAGGTGGCTGTGGGTCTAAACCCTTCAAAACCCCACTAGTCCGTGGCAGCTTCGGTAGCTTGACCACTCTTCTAGTCAGTCAGTGAACTGCTCCTTTTGGGCTGCCATGACGGGTCCCTCGTGCCATGACGGGTCCCTCAGTGCCATGAGAGGACTCTCTCATCCGGAGAGGACTTCACTTGGCTAAGTGGTCATTCAATGTGAATGACCTTGTCGTGCACGACCACCGACACCGACCTTGGTTTTCTCACCGATCGCATCCCGGTGGATCGGTGCTCTTCCCATGCGGCAATGCCGCGTCGCCTGTCGACTGGATGAAGGTCTTCCAGGTGGTGCGGTTGAGGGTGGGGAGTGGATGGAGTGGGGAGCAGGTGAGACGAGCAAGTGGACGGGAGTGAAACCTATGGCTCCATCTCTCCAACTGAGGTTGCTGGATCTCAAGGACTCCCGTGCGGTTGTTACAAGCGAGAGTGTGCTTTTGTGTGTTGTGTTGTGTGCATGTGATGTGGTGGACGGTTGATTTCATAACTCCTAACACAACCTCAATCCAAATGCGAGGGTATGGCTTCAATGGCTTTATATAAATATATTGTATAGTTTTATTCAGCAATGGTCATTATATGTTTTGGGCCGGGGGCAGAAGCAGAAGTGGGTTGCCCTCCATGAAGCTGCTTTTTTAAAGCTTGGGCAAGATCTTCCCAGCTTCGCAACCACTTCTTTGTGAAAGCCTTGAGCCATCCAATCAAGATCCTGGAGAACCATAGTAGCCACATATTCACGCAAGGGGCACCCAAGTCCAACTTCGTCGGATGTATGCGAGGCACACTTCGCCAGTGGTCACGCGGTCATGTACCCGTCTAAAAGAGATTGCCACTGGGTGGTTCAACTTCACGGAACACCAAAGCCTAAGATCATTTTGTAGTGCACTTCTCAGGTGCTCAAAACCTTGGAGGTGCGAGTCCAAACCCAAAGGTAGGGGGGCCCCCGGGAGTCACCGTCACCCCGTGTGGCTTGCAGATGCACTAGCGAGAAGTGACCCGACAGAGTAGAGACCGACCCGACCAGAAGGCGACGAAGCGACTGAGCAGTGCCACCGATTGGCCCTCCCTTGTGCCACCTATTGGCCTCCCAAAGGCAGCGCTTGACATTCCTGACTTTGATTGAATTTGACCCTGCACTGGAGCTGACATAGTGTCACCTTCCCCCCCCCCCAGGGTATTTACTGTGGTGAATCAAAACCTAGGGAAGCATTGAGGAGAGGATGTTGATGTATTTTAGTGAAATAACCGTGTCAGAAAATAGGATGACAAGGTTGTGCGCACATGATGAAACAGTAGATTCTACTGTTCTTTGCGCCACCCATCAATACATCCACCAGTTCGTGCCGTGTTACATCTAGAAAATCGATGACCACTGAAATCAGATGCATGTGGGATCCGGAGGGCATCCTGCCAGGACATGTCCTTCACACAAGGGCCTCGATTAAGCACTTGGCGGAGTGGTTGCGCAGCCGCTCCCTGCTGAGGATGGCCTAATTCGGGAATTAGAGGTGAACTGCCGATGTAATGCCGAAGAAGTGGATGAAAAAGAGGAGCCTGCGAAAGGCCACGAGCCTGGCTCACAGGTGCTTTCTGTGAACAAGTTGTTTTTTTCAATGGTTTAGGCAGGCCAAACTTCCTCTTTTTAAAGGGTTTGTTGGCGCCATGCAACAGATGTAAATTCAAACACAAGCTGCGCTAGACTCCTCAGCAGTTAGGCAAACTGGTCGGTCGCTGCTGTCTACTTGCATGCCCTGAGCCAATTCTCGGCCCATCCTTTGGCCGGACGAGGTGCCAACAAGAAGACCCTCCTGGCGCCCACCGACGAAGCCTTCATGGCTTTAGGCACCGGCGTGGCCGCCAGCTTATTGCACCTCGGCTCCAATACAACCAGCGTTCGTTCGAAGCTGTACACGACGCGTTTGTTCCCAGACCGGAACCCATGGACGGACGGAACGTACGCGGAGGCGCTACAAGGTTGGTGCGAAACGCGCCGGAATGCTGGTGGCATCGGCTTTTGGGATGACGGACTCTCTGACGGACTTGGTGCTTTCGTTTGAAGCACTTGGGATGACGAACATGCGCGAGATGCAACAGATGCTTGACGCAATGCGTTTGGCAATCTGCCTAGGTTGGTCTCCAACTTGGAAGACTTAGCTTCTTGGGCCTTGGATCTTTGGAGTTTGGAGTTTGGATGAAGATGGTACTGGTATAGTCCTTTGCTGATGAATGAAACCTACAGTTTGGCAGATGTTTGACCGTTCTGGGTTCTGACTCTATGTTTGGTGGCGGTTGATTCATGAGTCAACAGCAATGCTTTATACCATGAGGAAGCCCAACCGGGATGGAGCGGCATTGTTTTGGGAGCTCTTTGGAACTTATCTAAACTTTGCTCAGAAGAATCCTTTGCCCTTGCTAGGGAGGCTGTGCATTTGCACTACGCCACCACGTTGTGTTCTTACGCTGAGGGTTGGCATAGCCTTGATGAGTTTCAATCAATATGATTACAGCTATATCACACACGGTCATCGGGCAGACAAGAACCTCAACCTCAGAGTTAAACGGCACTAGAAATGCTGTGCATGTTTTAGATGCACGCAGCCGCAGGACGGAACACATCATATAAGGTTTACAAGATGTTTGCAGTAGAAGCATGGAGGAGCAAATGGCTGCAAGTGTCGTCCCCCTTCTCCTCCTCATCATCACATCATCATCCACTGTTCGCATCGTTTTATATAGTCATTCTTTCTCTCGGGGGCAGGCAGGGGCCAAGACGGTCTAAGACATGTTCAGTGACATGTTCCACACAGCTCCAGCATCGCACCAAGTTGGCTTTGGTGGAGCTTCATATCTTTGAGGGTGCTCGGACTAGTGAGGCCTGGGCGCGAGCGCGCAGCTCTCGCGTCCGAAGTGGGTCAACTTGACGGTTCCAAAGGAAGGGCATCCTGGAGCTGGTGAAGGGCCTCCTGGAGGTGGTGACTCTTGATTGATAACCCCTCCCCAGTTGAATTGAACATCCTCTTCATATGGGGTGGGTTCTGAAATCAAGAGCCTACATGATGTATCATGATGTGCCATGTTTTCGCATCTACTGCCATTTTCTTCCATCTGGAGTTGATGAGTTGCTGCCAGAACTGACGGGGCACCCGAGTTAGAACCAATTGTAATATATTTGTAATTCAAGGTGCCACAATATACACATATATAGGGTGTAGCCCATTACCGGTAACAGTTGGTAAAAGATTCTCACTATGTTTGAGAAAGGCCTTTGTTAAGCATCATCACCCACTGTTACTAGTATATAATGGGATACACCCAATGCATATATGGTTGAATGGCCCCATAACTAAACACGAATCAGGTTTGACTCCCACCTAGCTTTGGGCTCGAACGGGTACATGCAGTGTACCTCCTGCAGCAAGTGGCGGCTGCTTGCGGGGAGGTGCACTGTGTGCTCGTCGCTGGATCGGCTCCGTGCGGCGGTCTTGAGCGATAGGTTGCCCGCTACTCTGGAGGCCGAAGCGAAGGCCACAAAAATCCTGGATTCGGCTTTCTACTCCGTGGCCCGCCTTTTCCCGGAGGTTGAGGAGGAGCCGGAAAAAGGAGAACATCCTCCCAAGGAGGCCAGAGGCAGCGAGGCATCGAAGGGAGAGGGTTCTCCCAAAGCAGGTGTCAGTGAGAAGGAGAAGAGTCCGGAGGAAGTGACTGAGGCCAAGACCGTCGAGAAGGAGGAGAAGACCAAGCCGGTGGAGTCTCCAGACAGCGAGAAGAAGAAGGATTTGCCCAGGAAGAGAGAGGAGGAGAAGCACGTGAAGCAGCGGTCAAGGACACCGCCTCGACAAAAGGAAAAAGACAAAAGGAGGAACAGTCGAAAAAACAGCCGAACAAGGTCAGTGAGTGGGTCCAGAACAAGGAGAAAGAAAAGGGAGGATCATTCCCCCCAGAGGAAGAAAGACAGAGGGGAGGAGGTCGCAGCTAGGCCAAGCAGCGGCATTCAGAGAGAGCCGTATCTACGTCCACGGCCCAGCCAACGTGAGGCAAGAGCTCCACGCACTCCAGATCATCCACCACCCAGAAGACCTTTGATCCCGCCGGCAACAGGCCGAGGAGTAGGTCAAGGTGCAGGCTGGAGGGGCCCGGTGCCGTATTCCAACCACCCACGGTGGAGTGAGGCAACCAATAAAGGTGTGACAAAGAGAGCCAAGCAAGAACTCTACGACCGGAAGCAGTCGAGGGGTCGTTGGTGAGGGGAGCAATGGCTCCCAAACTGAGGAGACCAGCGGCTGCGCCAGCCCGGGTGAGGCCGATGAGGAGGCCGGCCAGGGCTTCAGGAGAGGCTGAAGAGGAGAAGGCAGAACCCACTACAGAAGAGTATAATACCTTGGCATCGTTGACGCTTGAGAGATTGAAGTCCTTGGACATTGTAGAGCTTGGGGAGACTTCGTACTATGGAGGGCATGCCAAAATAGCAGGCAGGTTCCGGAGTTTGAGACCTTCGGAGGAGGAGGTTGAGTTCGAGTTGTGTGGCACCCTGACAGAGAGGGTCCTTGAGCGCTTTGGGGGAGGCAACTCAAGGGTTGTGATGGTGCACATCTGCAGCGCCGAGTGTCCGCAGTTGATGACCGGTGACACCTACTTCCACGCCCGAGGATACTGGGACACCGCGGTGGCCCCGAAACCATGGCACACGAATCTCATGCCCGCCAAGGGCACGGTTGAAGAGGAGGTGGATGAGCTGGCCGGGCTACGTGAGCTTGCGGAGGAGAGAGGAAAGGGGAGGGGAGGCGTGAAGCCTCCCAAGAAGGTGCCGCAAGAGGAGAAGGGCCGGTCGCCAGCAGGTGAAGGGGAGAAAAGAGGGAAAAAGAGGAAGAGGAAGGAGAGAGCAGCAGAGAAAGAATATGATGAGTTGTTGGCGAAGAAGGAGGAGCATGAGGAGCTGGAGCGAGGGCAGAAGTCGGCACGGGCCTTGTTCAGCTATACCTGTCTGGACCCCAACGTGCCGAGACGAAGGCGCCTCATGAAGAAGGCAAGGAGGGTTAGCAAGAAGAAGGACAAGAGAAGAAAGAAATCAGAGTCCGGAGATTCAGGTTCATCGAGCTCGTCATCAAGTGAGACCGACAAGGGATCTGAGGAGGAAGGTCCGCTTTTCGAAGAGACCAGGCGGATCAGAAGGCTCAGTGAGAAATGCCCGGGCGCTTTGACAGCCCAGGCACTGGACAATGTTCGGGAGCATCTTCTTTCTTCTCGAGGGGAGTTGCACAGCGTGTCACGTGAGCAACTTTCTCCATTGTTCTCGATGTACGCTTACCAACACCTCCAATCTCTCGCCAGTCCAGTGCTCTGGCAGGAGTTGGTCACTGTAGCCCAGGTCTCGGACCTGCTCCTTCGTCGGAAGGTGGCCGCTGCTCTCGACGTGCTCGTCCAACGTGCGAAGTCGCTAGAGGCGACCCTACGTGGTGGTCACTACTCCGTTTCGCGCCAGCTGGAATTAGTCAATGCAGAACAAATCCGCATCGCAGAGCCCGCGGAGCAAGTGGAGGCCGCGAGGAGTGCGCGGGATGAGTTCCGCAACCGCTCCATTGGCAATCGTCCTCACGGGATGACCCAACGCGGCGAAGGTGAATTTCAACCCAAAGGACGTGGCAAGCCTGTACCAACCTCAGAACCCGCATACAAGCCAAAAGGAGGAGACAAAGGGGAAGGAAAGGAAAAAGGAAAATGGGGAAAGAAGACCAAAGACGAAAGTTGAAGAGGGTTTCTGAGGAAGGAGGTACAGGCTTTGAAAGAAAAGAGAGGAGGCAGAAAGGGTTGAAGGAAGATGCGTCAATGGAATGCCAAAGGGAGGAAAGAAAGAGAGAGGCTGAAGAAGAGACTGTTGATAGGGCAATTGAGGAGATGCTAGCAGAGTGTCGCCAGAAAGCTTTTGAGGGCGATGGGACGCCTGATCACTATGACCTTGGGGGTGACTTGGGTGACAAAAGGAGGCAGCCAGTGTCGCCGGGCCAAGGATGGGAGACAACAGCAGCCTCCCAAGCTGATGCGAGGAGTAAGCAATCTGCAGGTATGGACCGCAGACAGCGCCGAGCGTTAGCTGAGGAGAAGCTGGGTGAAAGCACAGGGGAGGTCCTGAGATCCTCCCAGTTTGCATGTGACCTGCCGCCACGACTGGATTTGAAGCCAAGCCGGGGCGAGGATTTTTTGACAGAGCAGCCTACAACACGACTGGATTTGAACTTAAGCCGTGAAGAGGAGGCATCGCCAGAGCATTGTGGCCATAAGTCGTGGCAGATGACTTTGAAGAGCGCTTGCGCAAGAAAAGACAGCTTGTGGAGTGATTTGGGCCCCGCACTATCGAAGTCCCTGGAGGTGTTGTCAAAGACCACGCGTTGCGGGCAGTCCACGGAGGGGCTCTTTCCCCTTCCGCTTCCAGGGAGGATGGGATGGTGCGAGGTTGAGGATCCTTTACTGGAGGGACTTGTCAGAGGGTTGAACAGCTTGTATGGGGTTGAGGCATCCGGAGGAAAGAAGGTTACAAAGGCCCAGAGGAGGATCTTGGAACGGTTGAGGGGCTTGCTTAGGTCCAGCAGCTTACCCCGGGCGGTTCTCCCCACACTCACTTTTGGAGAGTTCTTCACCACAAAGGGCATCGATTATTCCGGTGAGGAGGTTCGAGTTGCAAGGTCATTCCAATGGAAGATGGTCGAAGCGGCTTTCCCAGAGGGGGTAGGGTCCCTGGACTTGTTGAGCTTTTGTGACGGAGGCACCCGATCCTATGTGTCCGAATTTGAGAGATTCCTCTTGCCGCCCCAGGATCAAAGCCTTGGGAAGACGCCGGCTACGATGGTCAGCCAAGAGCACTGGGCGGAGGTGTGCCTGGGATTGGTCAACCGGGGGGTTTGTGGTCTCATGAAAAAGGAGGAGCTTTACCATGTCAGTGGGCGTGCAGTCCTCAACGGACTTTTTGCTGTAGAGAAAGGGGAGAAAGCGGTGGACGAGAAGGGTAAAGAGTTCGAGGTCTGTAGACTAATCATGAACTTAGTGCCAACCAATGGTCTATGCCGAAATTTGGTGGGGGACACATCTACTTTACCTACGGTTACGGGGATGTCTGGAACAGTCTTAAGAGATGGCGAGCTTCTGTTGACTTCATCAGAGGACATAAGGTGTTTCTTTTACTTGTTCCGGACGCCACCAGAATGGCACCGGTTCATGGGGTTTGGAAGGGAGGTTCCGCCAGAGGGCCTCCCAGCCGGCTTCAAAGGCCACGGGTGGCACCTGGTCAGCAGGGTCTTGCCCATGGGGTTTATCAACTCCGTGGCAATTGCACAGCATGTGCACCGGCGGGTCATTCAGCAAGCTCTGGGAGGCGAGAGAAAGCTGGCAGGGAAGCAGCAGGAAATCCGTCGAGATCGACACCAGAGTTCCGCAGCCCATCAGTACCGTGTTTATCTTGACAACTATGACGAGCTGAACAAGGTGGACAAGCAGTTGGCGAAGACCCTGAACGGAACTCCTTCGGCCTGGACCCTGGCTGTGCGTGAGACGTATCAACAGTTGGGTTTGCCGCGTCACCCGAAGAAGGCAGTCACACAGGAGGTGCGAGCTGAAGTGCAAGGTGCATGGGTGGACGGTGAGCTGGGTCGAGCCACTCCGAAGTTGGAGAAGGTAGGCAGGTATGTCCAGCTTGCTTTGGAACTCTGTGTTGCTGGCAGGGCTTCGCAAAGGGAGTTCCAGGTTGTAGGAGGGGGCTTCGTCTACATTGCTATGTTTCGCAGACCTTTGTTGTCGGGGTTGAATGCAGTGTGGAAACAAGTGACCGACTTGGGCAAGTATGGACCGGTGGTTCGGAAGGCATTGCCGCAGGAAGTTATGCTTGAGTTGCTCCGCTTCGTTGTCCTATGCCCCTTGGCCTACATGGACTTCCGGCTAGCCACTTCGGAGCTGGTGACGGCCAGTGATGCTTCCACCACAGGTGGCGGCCTTTGCGTGTCCAGAGAACTTAGCCCGTTCGGAGTTAGTGCGTGTCAAGCTGAATGTCGCGGAGACGTTGTTGAGCCTGACGAGGTGGACCAAGTGCTTGTGGTGTCGCTTTTTGACGGCATTGGGGCCCTCAGGGTTGCACTGGATGCTCTGCGCGTGCCGGTAGGGGGGTATGTGTCGGTGGAGATTTCACCCGAGGCAAATCGTGTGGTGGAGTCGTTCTTCCCTGATGTGGTGTGCGTGGGGGACGTGGCCAGTGTCACAAGCGAGGACGTGTTGCAGTGGAGGTTGCGGTTTGCAAACGTTGGGCTTGTGTTGCTAGGCGCCGGACCGCCGTGTCAAGGTGTTTCCGGGTTGAACTCTGACCGAAAGGGAGCGTTGAGAGATGAGCGGTCTTGCTTGTTCCAGCATGTCCCCAGGGTGGAATCCTTACTGCGTGAGCACTTCAAATGGTGTCCTGTGCACAGGCTGGTAGAAAACGTGGCATCGATGGATGCGGACGATTGCCAGACTATGTCTTTAGCCTATGGCACTATGCCGTGGAGCATTGACGCTGGTGGGCTTAGCCTCGCGCGGCGACCACGCTTGTATTGGTGTAGTTGGGAGCCATTCAGACTTGAAGGTGCCACAGTCGTTGAAGGGAGGGAGGGTGCCCTCCCAGTCAGAGGCAAAGTGATCCTTGACGTGAAGGTGGACGAGCGTGACTTTCTGGAGGCTGGCTGGCGGAGGGTTCAACCTGAGGCCTCATTTCCCACTTTCACTACGTCCCGGCCTTCGGCTCTTCCGGGACGCCGCCCTGCAGGGTTGGCCCTCTGTCCCCCGGACGCGGTGGCTAGGTGGAAGGCTGACCTCCACCGTTTCCCTCCTTACCAATATCGGAAAGAGAACTGCGTCACAAATCAACGTGGTGAAGTGCGTGTGCCCTCAGTCGGCGAGAGAGAGGTGATCCTTGGGTTCCCACTGGGTTACACCCGTCGATGCCTGGTCAAAAGCATGGAGGGAAGCACAGCTCATAATGATTGTCGTTTGACGCTCCTCGGAAACAGTTGGTCGATCCCCGTGGTCGTGTACCTGTTGTACTGCCTCTTCAGGACGTTGGGGCTGTTGCCACAGTTGGACCTCGCCACGTTGGTTGAGCGGTTGACCCCTGGACGCGAGCAGCAGTTGTCCAGCCTGTTGATGAGGCCTCCGATGCGCCAGACTACGAAGGCCGGCAGCGAGCAAGTGGGTTTAGTTGGTCGCTTGATGGGACAAGTCTCTGTGAAGGGAGAAGACATTCTACTTCAGCTAGGATCTGATCTCCCAGCTCGCTATCATCGGTTGCGTGCGTCCGTGCCGAGCAAACTTTGGAGGTGGAAGGACGTTGCAGGTTGGCGCTGGACTGGCGATGCCGAACACATCAACGCACTGGAGCTGCGCGCGGTTAAGACGGCCATCATTTGGAGGTTGAAGGAGCTTGAAGAAAGTGAGTGTAGGTTCTTGCACTTGGTCGATTCGTTGGTTGTGTTGCATGCCTTGTCTAGGGGAGATCATCGAGCCGTAGGTTGAGGAGGACATTGTGTCGAATCGGAGCGCTTCAGTTGGCAGGTGGCTTAGTAGGAATTTGGGGTTACGTGGATACCCACCAGAACCCCGCTGATCGGCCCTCGCGCCGACCCCTTCGGAGGAAATGGGGAAAAAGCCACGAAAGTAATGGAAGGAAAAAGCCAACAGGAGCGCAAGAAGGTTCGAAACAAGCTGGGATCCCTCAAAGGACTTACAGTTCAGCCCCGTACAAGGCAACGCTACACCGAATGTCTCAACCGTTTCTTCGACTGGATGGCAGGGGAGGGCATGGTTCTCCCAAAGCAGCAAGCCCGCCTGGATGCATTGGTTTGTGATTACTTAGAGCATCTCTGGGCCTCTGGAGAAGGGAAGTCAATAGCTAACAATACTCTTGCTGCCCTACAGGACCAAAATCCTTCCCTCAAGAAAAAACTCCCCGGAAGCTGGAGGTTGCTCAAAGCATGGACCACTGTCGAAATCCCTAACCGAGCTCCACCTATGACCCTTCAGATTCTGGATGCCTTATGTGGATGGTCCATCTTTAAAGGATGCCCCGAATTTGGCTTGTCTCTGAGAATTGCCTTCTATGGTCTACTTCGCACCGGTGAGTTGCTGAGCCTGCGGGCAAGAGATGTTTTCATTCCCGGGCCCAAAGGGCCAGCCGTTCTTTCACTGGGGCTAACTAAGGGAGGAGCGCGCCAAGGCGCGGCGGAGAGTGTGACACTTCATGAACAGTCCATCCTCCCAGACCTCTGGAAATGGAAGCAAGCCAATTCTCCCTCAACTTTTTTAACCCTCAAGCCACATGCGTGGAGAGCTTTATTCACCAAAGCCATCGAGGCACTCAAATTGAATGACCTGCAATTCAGACCATACAGTTTGCGCAGAGGGGGCGCGACGTTCTGGTTTAACCAGCACGGTTCGTTCGATAAATTGCTCGTGCAAGGCCGGTGGGCCGCAGCACGTACTGCTAGAGTGTACCTCAACGACGGCCTCGCACAGTTGGCCGACATGTCTCTGTCTAATTCGTTTTTAATCCCATACGTGAATTTATACCGCAGGAGCCCAAACCTTGAGCCTGGACCCCCTCAAGGGGGGTCCAGATCAGGGGGACGTGGAGCCAGAGCCAAGAAGGGTAGAAAGGTTGAATTTTTTGCGCTTTTTCTGTCA